AAACCTGTTGCAGAACATAGAAACCTTCAACATACTTCCAGGGTGAGCAGATTCACTGCTCAGGTCATTCAGTATCCTGTAAGAAGTAACGTCTGACCAAATTGACTCACCAGAAGACTTGCAGCACCTCATTGTTCATGCATCTTGGAAGGCAGAAAGACGGCATTCTTCCAAATGGCTTTTATATGGAGGATCTCCAAGCTTTCTTGTCTTCCCTTACTTATTTGTGTGCCTAAGTGATTTTCAGGATCCCATGAGCTTTTACCGATTATTTTACACCAAACTAAAGGTTCACGTTCCTTTTTTTTCCCAGTTTCATACATATCCAAGCTCACCACTGGTTGCACTGCTATAGGAAGGACTAAATGGGAACAGACAATTTTTAAGCTAGCTACTGGCAAGAGAGAGGCCTATTGAACTGTATGGTCAAGGTGTCTAACAAAGGCAACACACTTCTGTTGGAAGTTTTTGGAGCCCACAAATCAATAAAATGGTCGTGGTGGGGAAATCACTAAATACACCAAGAATTAAACTCAAAGCTGTTCAAAATTAACGAGTACTCTGAAATGTAGATTAATTTGATCTGGCACTACCATGCTAAAATACACAAGTAACAGCCATTTTCTGGCTCTTTTATTCCTATTTCCTTTTCAAGTAGATACTTGACACAAGCTTTGGCCTTGTAAAGACCCAATAAGGCTATTTGAATTTTAATTCCTGTGTTACTCAAGACATTGTTCATTAAGTAACTTCCAAAGGATTCTTGGTGTTGGATAATTTCTCTGGGATCACCTCAAACATCCTAACAATCAACCTTTGAAGATGAGTTAATTAGGCTCAGAGCAAATTACTACGGGGAAGAGCCCAGTAACTTTGGCACAGGAAAATCTAAAACCATGATGTAATTAAAACCATGAGAACTGGAAAGCTGGTTTCAACTTATAGATGAAACCATGAATACATATCTGTCACAACTACTGGTAGATAACTCATGGAAATATAGTCAAGACACATTTGCACTTAGGTCACTGCACCTGGAAAACATTTTTGAGGAAAACTTGTGGAAACACTACAAACTAGCTAGAAAATAAAGCTCTGAAATTCTGCACTTTCAAGACAAACAGTTTCAAGACATGGTAAACTTGATTCTTGGAAAATTATGGTGCATCATGAAGCAAAAGAATCAAGTTCTAGGCGTCAGCAGAATAAATGATCACTACTTTCTGCGCTTTAACAGTAGCTGGAATAAGTAAATGTATTTTTTGTTACAGACCCTAAATAGGTAAATATAGTTCCTTCTTGAGTAATTACATACTTCGTAATCTCCTGTAGCTTTCACTCTTCAGGAAATAAAGTTGGAGTCACACATTGTTTTAACATCAATCATGAGTTTTAATATCCATCAAGATGACGAATAGCTGGCTGCTTTTATTTACATTTTCAAGATGAGACTATTTTCCAATCAGTTGCTCACATGTTGTATTTAGGATGCACTCGTGATGACTTCAGATATAAAATGGAAAAAGCCCATTTTGAAAATACATTAAAAAAGTGGCCACCAGCCATTGGGCTACTAATTATTTTCTAAAGATTAAATTCTAGGAAAACAAGTTTATTATAAATATTTAAAAACCTGAGCTGTAAATTCTGATGAAGCTGGACAGAACATGGAGGTCAGTAAACAGAATCATGCCATGTCTCACAAACAGGAAGATTTACTTACATTTCAGCTTCTTTTCTGCCACAAGGTAGAAGACTGACAATTAAAAAAATTAATAAATACACAGCTTTTAACTATAAACACCATTTGAACTTTCTTTAAAAAAAAGTAAGAAACTCCTTAACAAATCAATCTGATGTCAAACAGGAAGATATAGAAACACTTCAGCTTATTTATGTATTTCCGATGGTCTTTGGTAGACTACCAGCGGCAAGACTACAAGAACTTTCAGTATGTGTACATCTCCCTGCTGATTCATGCGAAGAAGGAAGATAACCAAAGTTAGGAACATACTTTAATAATATCAACTGTGCTTCAGGAACTATGCTAAAAACAGCTTCTAGCTGGAAGTAACTCAAATTAACTTTTGCACGCTTCTACAACACCCTTCTCGGTGTGGCACCTTTGAACAGCTTCTCTCCTGCAGCTGGAACACCACCCCTAACCCAGGTTCAACAGGCAAAGAAAACGGATCCTTGCACAAGTCTCCTATGTATAGTGCAGAGGAAAGTTAGGAAAAAAAATACATTAAGAACCCTTTATATGTGTATATTCTTCCACTTATTCTTAGGCATGCAGACTCTGCTTCAGCTCTCCTGGAAGGAAACATGGCAGACCAGGCCCACTTGAACAAAGCAAGCTTCCAAATTCCAGGCAGACTGGCCCAGCACTCTGCTGGAGAAGCACCCAGATACTACAAAAAATATTACAAAGCGCCTTGAGTAGCCTGCTCTTTCCACAGTACTGTGAAGGAAAAAACAGGGTAAGTGTCAAGAATGGTGATAAACTGCAGTAGTTAGATTAAACATTTATTTTTCATATATTCACAAAATCTTCACAAAAGTATTGAAACTCAAAAAGGAATTAGACTTGAGTCAAATACAGAGATGAAATGTACAAGACAAATGAGCAGGCAAACTAAAAGGTCTTGAAAGTATTTTACTTCAGATTGAAAAACGAACAGTTCAACTGTTCTGTTTAAATAAAGATTTGCAAGATATACAGTATTTTATGAATACAATGCTGGTCATTTGAGGCAATGTAAAATACCTCAATTTTTCCTTCATGCTTTTTTTTTTTCCTTTTTTTTTTTTTTTTTCTTTTAGAAAGATACTGTTTACCAAAAAGAAACTTGAGCAGTCCAGGAAAAGCTATTTTCCATTAAATTTATGAAAACCATAAATTGAGGCAAACCTAAGATTCCCAATGGAATCAAGATTATCTTCCCGCTACCACCACCTTAAAATTATCACATGCTTATTGGAACACTAATATCTGCACCCTAAGAGTACATTTGCTTTCAACGATGAGGGTGATTCTTTTAAAAACACTTCAGTGTGGTAAATGCGATACAGATCTTTGCAAGTATTAAGTTTTGGAACAGTTTTGCTAATAGCAGCTAACAACACTGGATTAATATAATTTATAAATAATTGTTCCCTAAGCGGTGAACATAAGTCTACACATTCACAATAATCTAAAACAAAATAAATACTGTGATTATGCATAATGTGGTACAACTTTTACTAGTTTCTACGAACAAAAGCTCAACATCTTGTTGATAAAATTATCTGATCAAATTAAAATATGAATGTAAAAATTTAAAAAAAAAATTGTCAAATTAACATCACTTAAGCTTAGTGTTTGAGTAGATGTTATGACTTTCCATATTTTTGGAATATATGTATTTTCCTTTTTGAAGTAAAACACTTTAACACATTGAAAATGTTTATTAATTTAAGTGATGACATCAGTCCTGGTCTTATTTTAGCATTATTTTACTTTAAAAAAAACATTGCACTCATTAGTGCCCATTAAAGGTCAGGTTGGTCTGTAGTATTCTGTAAATGTATATTAAAAAAGTTTCTAAAAGCTAATAGTACTTTTTATAAAAGCATCATCTCCAGAACAGCTGCATTAAATACAGCCACATATGCAGAGTACAGACTTTCCTCTTTAAAGAAATATGTGAAAGTAAGTGTCCCAACTCCTGTTCCAAGCTATGCCTGTGAGTGTAATTACACATTTAATTCGCATTCATGGCATCAAAGTTACTGCAACCTAGACTTGTAATGTGACTGAACCAGACAAATGTGGAGTTTAAATTAAATGATAACTAGGTCAATGAAGAAATACTATGAGATATGAAAGGTTTGGGTCTTTAAGGCAATACAAAATATATTTCATTATTTGAAGTTGTTTTGGTTGTTTTTAAATAATTAAGTGTAAATATAAAAATGCCTAAGAGGGGAGTGAGAAAAAAATAGTTTAATTGTAAAATTTACTTAAAGCTTCAACAGTTACAATCTCCTACAGGAGTTAGCAAAAATATAAAAGACAAAAAAACCCAGACCTGGAAGGGGGAGGGAAGGCACAAACAAAGAGGCATGGGATTAAAGCAGCCCAGGAATGCAAACGTCTATAACAAACTGAGTTTTGTTGTTTGTTTTTTCAAAACAAAAAAAAAAAAGAAGAAGAAAACAATCACCACCAACAACCAAACTAAAAAACCCCAAGTGGCTTTATATTTCTTCAAAAAAAAGAAAGGGTCAGGGAGAGACCACTAAGGGGAGGAAGAGAAGGATGCAACTATAAAACCCCATTGCCTGAAATGATGGCACTCCAAGGTGAAGGTTACTTCTCTGAGATGACAAGCTCAGTGTCTACACAAAGTACATGTACACTTTATACAAATGAAAAACTTCATTTGCCACCATAAACCTTTCTTTCAGAGGAACAGCTTTTGCAGATCAAATGTCCTATTAAATCTTTTAAATGCCAAAAAAAGAAATTCTGAGCAATATAACTAGTAATGTCTCTTTATATGGATGTTAAGATGACAATTCAGATTATTTTCCAAACTAATCCTGAGAAAAATTTATGTTTACAATTTAAACAGTAATGTTATGTAAAAAGTATTAACAAATCCACTATTACAAATGTCAGTTTTCCTATATGGTCATCTATATATACACAATAAAATGGTAAGTATATGCAAAAATAATAAAAAAATCATGCACAAATTACTTTCACCTTTAAAGGCTGGGTTTCCCTCAAAATACAATTTTTTGCTTTTTTTTCCTATTTTTTTGTGTTTTATTTGTTTGTTACCACCCCCTAGACACACTGAGTACTACCTCTACAGGTCAGCATGAGCTGATGGGAAATACATTTATTTTACATTCAAGCTTTTATATCCTAAATGACCCTGTTGTAGCATATGACTTATCAAATGAGCAGCCTTTTTCCTCTTTTTTTTCCAGTTTTTTTTTTTTTTAAATTTTTTTTTTTTTTTTTTTTTTTTTTTTTTTCAGTGATCAATCTTCATGATCCGTTCCGTGGCGAGCTGGGAAAAAAAAAAAATGCAGTTGCTAATCAATGTCTGAACAGTCTGAAGCTCCGGAAGAGATCCAAGGAGTCACTATCAAACTATCCTGTAGCATGAGATCATTGCACACAGAAGAACAGTCATAAAATAGGCAACTATCTACAAAGGTCTGAAAGGGCTGCATCCCTCTTGTGTTTCCTCTTTTTGCCATGGAAAAACTGATGGTGTGATTTGCTGCCTTGATGTTGTTTGTTTGTGACTGAGGTACCGTGGCTTGAGTTTGCTGGACCTTGGAAGCCTTTGTTAGAAGAACGAAATAACCGTGCAGATCCATGCTGTAAAAGAAAGAGAACACAGTAAATCAGTGCTAAAAAGAAAAAAGCATGGCAATTACACAACCCTATTTCTGGATAATGAGGACATTAACACATGAAAGTGTTACACTTGAAAAAATTGATATGGCAAAAGAAGCTAGGCCATTGCTTAGACAGCAGCACATTACCACGAATTTTTCACTTTGGTGATTGCAAACAAATGTTCATCTCTAGACCCAAAACCATGCAGGTCAAGAGAGAAGAGCAGAGCACTTTGACTTTTGAAAAGGATAAAACTGTTCTATCGCCCCCATTTTGCAACCATCAAAACAGTGTTTTACAGAAATATAAGTCCATAATCCAGGATGACAGATGAAGCTTGCTGTGCTGGTTTTGGCTGGGAGAGAGTTAATTTTCGTCATAGTAGCTAGTGTGGGGCTATGTTTTGTATTGGTGCTGAAAACAGTGTTGATAATACAGGGATGTTTTCGTTACTGCTGAGCAGTGCTTACACAGAGCCAAGGCCTTTTCTGCTCCTCACCCCACCCCACCAGTGAGTAGGCTGGGGGGGCACAAGGCGTTGAGAGGGGACACAGCCGGGACAGCTGACCCCAACTGACCCAAGGGATATTCCAGACTATAGGACGTCATGCTCAGCATATAAAGCTGGGGGAAGAAGAAGGAAGGGAGGGAGGGATGTTTGGAGTGATTGTCTTCCCAAGTAACCCTTAGGCGTGATGGAGCCCTGCTTTCCTGGGGATGGCTCAACACCTGCCTGCCCATGAGAAGTGGTGAATGAATTCCTTGTTTTGCTTTGCTTGCGTGTGTGGCTTTTGCTTTACCTGTTAAACTGCCTTTATCTCAGCCAACGAGTTTTCTCACTTTTACCCTTCTGGTTCTCCCCCCTCCCACTGTGAGGGAGGTGAGTGAGCGGCTGCATGGTGCTTAGCTGCCAGCTGGGGTTAAACCATGACAATTGCTCAAATCTCGTCTTCCGTGCAAAATTAAGACAACATTCTTTTAAGACCAGGACTAATTTTCTACCACATCTTTTTACAGATGTAGAGTATCTCAGATTGTGCATATTCACATTCCAGCACCAGAATTAGCTCTGCATAGTAACACAGACACACATTCATGGTATATCCAAGGCCTAGTTTGTAAACTGCCTCATTACTAGCTAGAGATAGATTGTCAGCAAGTAGTAGGCAAGTCTTCAGAATTACTTTTCAGGAATAAAATTCCAGAAGATTCCAGGCTATTTTTCGTACGTTAAAGAAGTCCTAAATTCTGAAAAAAGTATAAAAATGTAAACTGCATATATGCAAAGTATATTGTATATAGAGGCACATGGTATCTCCAGATTACTGAGTTGTCATAGAAGTATTCATCAACATGAGAAACCCCCTAAATGCATAAGCTCTGGTAGGTCTCACCATGAAGATATTTGTCTTTAGGGGGAAATGAGAGGGAATTTCATTTATCAGCAAGGAAACTTCATCTCCCTTAATGAAAGACAGTTCAACAACTATCAACAGCTAACAGAGCAGCAGCCAGTCATAATTTTAAACATACATTTTTGCTAACTTTTTCACTAAGTGTTGGCAAGTCTCATTAGTTCTCAAATTCTGCAGTAAAGACTGGACTGACATGCTTTTTGAAAAAAGGAAATAGGTGCAACACAGCTGCATACTTCTGAAAAATCTAGATTTCCCAAAATAAAGTCAATCCAATTTCATCTGTTTAAAGGCTGGGAAAGCCACTGTTGCAAACTCATCTGTGTAAGCTAAACAGGGAACCAGGTGATTTTAGATACAATCAGTGCTCAAAGCTTTTTAGTGGCGTAAAAGGGAGGTGAAAAATGCAGTGTTTCCTTTCCAGAACAAGCTACCCTTCCATGGAAGACATGTGTAATATCCAAATAATCTATACAGTTGTTGTTTTCAAACATTTCACAAACCTGAGATTTGTTCGTGTTGCTGGATGTATTGGCTGTTTGGCTATTTTGCATTTTCCCACTTGACTGGGAGGATTCCAGTGACACTTCTTGTGACCCCACTCTGTTTGTGGTAGACTGACGACAACTCAATTGTTTAGAGGTTTTGCAAGGTGTTCCATCAGAATCCTTCAGGAAAATGTAAAGTATTAGTGAGTTTTTCTTCAGAGTAAGTGAGTTTTTCTACAAGTGAGTTTTCCCTTAAAAATAAAGCTAGCAGTGGACAAAACTTAAAATGTGTTCATTTTATTAGGTATTTAAATTCTTTCAATCCAGAATTCTTACTGAATAAAACGGAGAGGTTTAAAAATGTTGAATTGATGCATGATTTTGGGATTTGCCTTTTATTTTTCAAATAGAATTCCCAAACAGATTTTTTTTTTAAGGATTTTCTTTTTTTAAAGCATATGGCTTAGGACTACCAGTCTTTTTTTTGAAATGCAGTTTTCCCAGAGAAAAGAGGGCTATATAACTTTGTATCCACTGTATTCACTTTCTACAGGTGTTGTGTCAAAAACACCCTGCAATTTACATGCGTAGAAATTGCATAAGGGGTAACACCTCATGCAAGTCAGGATTCTGGATGAAATAACTAACTAGGATTCTGAGCTTTCAAAATGTATTCTGTGGCAATACAAATCAGGAAAAAAACCCCAAAACAATGTAAAAACAAAATCAGAAAACCTCCAGTACTTACTACATCACTAGAGCTTGACAGCGTAGACGATGATGATGATAAAGGACCTGATGAAGAATTTGAAGAATGTTTACTAAGAGTTTCTGAAGTTTTATTTCTAGGTTTTCCCAGTGCTTCATTCTCTTCAGCAAGATTATTGTTGCATTTGTCTAGCTGCTGAGTATCTACTATCAAGGTTACTCCATTACCTATTAAAAACAAAACAGAAGCATCACCACACATTAACTGCTAAAATATGTTGCGCTTTTTTTTTTTTTTTTTTTTTAAATATACCCACTCAGGTATTATATATCTATTATATCCAGCAGGACACGTACAGACATCTGCACATGTACATACTTTTAATACATGCAGACACATGTGCGCATGTGTTTGTGTGTATGTACTGCATGCAGCAAGCCAACATCTCACACAGGGTGTGCTGGTTTCCTGACAGGATCCCTTAATGCACACTATGAAAACCACCAAGCATTACCCACAGTTCAAGATGGAAATTAGAGAAGTAAGACACGGAAGAAGGCAGTAAGAAAATTCAGATGTGCTGCTTAATAAGGTTGTTTCATGACACACTTCAACAGCACTCAAATACATAGGTTTAAATTCTGTTCCTATATATATACCCAATACTCAGCAACTCCCATTTTATTTCCGCTGGAACTGCTAGGGTCATAAGTACTCCAAATAAGTCTGGTTGCTTTGTATGATACCCTACACTGAAAATACAAGATACAGAACTCTCATATCTCACTAACTTCTGCCTTAAAAAAAAAAGAAGAATCAGAACCTAAATCTAAGCTAAATCTACAACTGTAACTGTCACCATTATCTTCCTGATACAGGGTTATTTTTTTCCATTACTGTTTTATCTCACATAAGACTCCTAGGAGTTACCTCTGATTTATGACCTACACTTGTTGCCCCACTAGCTGTGTTTGTATATAGAGTTTAATACATACACCACAATAGGTAGCTAAGTATTAGTCTGGAGCTTGCGGGACTGAACCATGGTTGTCTGCCATTACCAGGGGGTACAGTAGTGCCATGAGGGTCTACAGACTGATAAAACAAAAATGGCCCAGAAGCACATTCAATTTGCAAGGACAGTGAAGGAAATCACTAACAAAAGCTTTAAAAACAAAGAAACTAAATCCCAACCTAGCCTGAAGACTGGGTAGTTGTGTCATCTTCTCTTATTAATCCCTAACAAGAGAAGACTTCTAGTAGGCAGCATTCTAAAATTAATTGACAGTATTAAAATTAATTTTAATTTGAAAACTCCCAGACAGCAGATGCACCTACACCAAAAGAGGGTGGCAAGTGGCTGGGGAAGTCAGAAGATGGGCAATGAAAATAAAGATGATTTTAAAAGACATTTTCAGCAAGTTCTATGGCTAGGTTTTGTGAGTTTCCATTTGCTAGTAACAAGAATTATGACTGATATTTCAGGATTTTTCTGTTTAAAAGACCTACTCCACTTATATGGTCAATCTTGGTTTAGATATTGCTTCTATACACATACAATATGTTAACCTTTAAAATGAAAAATAAAAGAACAGAGGGTAAGGATTTAAACTAGCATTCCCAGTAATTCTTTTTAAAACCTTGTCCACATTAAAAGGACAAAGGAAGTGTGACAGTAATAACATGGGTAACTTAAATTGGAAGTTTTTCAAAAGTCTCCTCTTGCAAGCCAGCACTCTTTACAAAACCCTATGCTGACCAAATCTATCCCATGGCCTTTTTTACTCTTGTACAAATCCAAATTTTCTGGATGAGGACACAAGACAAAGTCTATCACTACTGAGCAAAAAAGTAAATTTGTACTAAGAAGCATATATTGCCTTATGTGAGGCAAAAGCAACAACAAAATCTGTGTGATCAAAATATGCAGGAAGTTTCCTCACCATCAGCCATGCTTAGTCAAAACTTACCATTACATGAAGACTCTGTCCTACTTTGCATTCCCCACTGCTTTGATATCCAGTCTCTGTAAGTGGCCACTTCTTGCGTTACTCTAATTATTCTACCTAATATACTGTAAACCAGGGAAAAAACCAAAACCGTCACAATTAATTTTTAGACCTACAAAAATATAAGCAATTAATGTCTGAGATTTAGACTCATAAAATTTACCTTTCTGTTTCGTTGTTAGGATAATATTTAGCTATTGGGGAAACTGCATGGCTCAAAACAACATAGGCATAATCAAAAGCCTGTTTCACTTGCATGGCACCATAGGAACTCCTCCCAACATCATTACCTTAAAATAAGAATATAAGTAAATAAATAAGATTGAAACCGTGGTAATCTCCTTTCAGACAGGAGAGAGTAATTTTTTTTAAAAATTGCCCTTATGTCCCAACTCAGTGCAGTTAACTCTTGTAGAATAGGATTAGTGAAGCATAAATATTTAAAAGAGCTTAAAAGACCTATAGATATTTACATGCACGGAAGTCCAAAATGGCAGCTCCCTGGGTAAAAGTGCAACACATGAATAAAAAAAAAAAATCCTATATTGCATTTATTACACATGTAACAGTACTGTCCTGGATTACATTCTTCTAGATCAGAAATATGTTAACTCTTTTCTATCAACAGCACTTGACTCACCATTTCAGAAGCCACCCATTCAAGATAACAACCAACCTTAATGTAAAGGTAACAGCACAGAATGAAACCACCACGTATTTATGTGACTTTACAGAATCAAACAGGAGAGAATGCATAAGAGTATACGTACATTATAAAGCGCAACTGTGATACAGGCAAGCGCAAGCGTGAAAGGGACCACGCGTACATACAGGTATGTCTAGCCCACACTCAGGCTCGTGCTGCTGTAGCTTTATTGCTGTTACCACAGAGCACATGACGGTTGTTCGGCAAGCCTTCTCATACCCTACCTCCTGACTGCAGTACAGGCATGCCCTTGGGTGGCACAGTAACTATAGCTAGGAACGTGTCTTAAAGAAAATCATTGTGTTCTGAGTGCATCTTGGGTTGATAGACAGGACTGAGGTGTTTCTATTTGGTTTTTGGTGGTCATTCTATGCTAGTCTTTGATTTAACTCCTCTGGATTAAGCATCCCCCTAACTTTTTTTCTTAGTCAATATGTTAAATCTCGCTTTATGAGGATACCTGGCTGTAACGGATCTTCGATATACAGCATTGATGGTCTGTAGCCATCCAGCATGCTTTTTTGCACTTCATCCTTGGCAACATAAGAGCCACCATCCTTTATTCGGATTCCAGTCTTCAGATAATTGAAGTGACGTCCATATAATTCAAAAAACTCTATTAAAAGAACACCGTAGTTGGCATTGGGCATACAGGCATCTTCCCTGGGATGCAGCTATTAAGAAGAGAGAAAAAAAATAATTTTCTTAAGATTTCAAGTTTCAAGTGCCTTTAAGTGCCTTTTCTTTTTCACAGCAGACATGTCTAAATACAATAATAATAAAAGCCCGTAATATATAAAGCAAACATGTTTAAATATAGTTATTTTCCCTTGATAAAGCAGTTCTGCATCTTTAGAACAAGATGCTATCAAAACTTTTATAAACTAATTACCTCTTAAAAATAAGGCTGTCAAGTATTAATGTTTTTGTATTTGAACTTCTAGTTCACTAAGTGAACTTCCAGCACTAACGGCAGGGTTCTTGTAAAAAAGCAAAAACTTTTGCACTTCATAAACCTGGGTTTGCAATACAAATACAGGCTTCTAGTGTGCACAGCTATATAAATGATCCCCTCTACTGTTAAGTGTGCAGCCTGAGAGACTATGAACAAAACCAGTTCATAATTGTAGCAGATATAAAACCTGACTTCTTTTTTTACAGGAGCAAGTGGAAGTGCTATTAGCCAATATAAGAAAAAATTGGGGTTGGCAGAGAGTTTGGTTTCTTTCAAAAAGACATGCCTGTTGCCTTCATTTCTTTTGTGCTCAGCAAGCAACTGCAATAGCGCTCAGCAAACACCAAGCTCCAGTTCAAGGCTCACTGGAAAGTGAGTAACTACTAAAAGTAACTACAATCTGGAACAGTACAAACATACACATACACAGACACAGTTATACAGTACCATTTAGTACAAGAAAAAGAATGAGGTTGATAAAGCCAGAACTCGGCTACTTCATATTTCTACAGTATTTTTCTCCCCCAGGCACAACAATATAGATTTAGCTCATGCATTTTGTTCTCTTAGATTTGAGAGAAAGTTGTAAAACATGTTTGTTTGATATCAGCTTAAAAACTTCGACAAACAAGCAAAATTCCATTACGTTCATTTAAGCACATACAGGGTGTATGACCTAGAAAACAAGTGTTATAAAGGACAGCTGTGTCTAACACTAACCTACGCAGCTTGTTCCAAATAAGTTACACAATAGTCAAGTTATTTTACCATGATTCACACGTGTGCCTGGTATTGATACACCAACAGACATTCCAAACATCTCTAATACGAAAAGTACCGGTATGGGAGAAAAAAAAGAAGACAGGTGGGACGTCTATTTTTAAATGAAAAGGGGACACAAAACCACAAACAGGACAGCTTAAATGATTAAATTTGAGGATTGATTAAATTCCTTCTTAATGTAATGTCCTTTTGCACCAATGGCATCAATAGATTTCATTGAGCTTACCTGAAGGAAACTGACAGCCATTAAAAAAAGACTATAAGAACCGATTCCACCTGTAAATACTTCATTAAGGTCCCTCTGCAACAGGAACTGTTTCAATACTAAAACTAGATATGGTAATACAGGGTATTTCTGAAAGAGAAAAACAAAGGTGTTAGGATACCGTGATGCATATATACAACTGATGCTATACAACTAATTGAAGCTGTTATATTGAGTCTCAAAGCTAAGTATAACTCTAACTTATTATTTTTAGTAACAGGGGAGAAGCCAAGTGCTCTGCCTGTGATCAATACAGTTATGTTTTACCTCTTCAACTCTGGTGGCAGATATTAACAACAGAAAAAACTTATTACCTCATAAAATCAGAATTATTTTGTTTATATATATAAATACACTTGCTTTTCTCACACAAGTGAAGAGGAAAGCAAAGGAAGAACTATGGAGATATCCACATCTGTAATAAAACCTTCTTGCTACAACCAAGGTGATATCCCGAAGTTGACTGAGACTTCTGTCCTGCAAGTACTTCAGACACCCAGAGTTCGAAACCGTTCTTCAAAATTACTACACCCAGATAACATTTTCAAAGGAGCCAAATACTTACCTTTGGGTAACTGGTCCTTCAATACGTTTGTCTGCATGGTTTCCCTTAGAGGTGTGCATACGCTGCACGTGTGGAGAACGTGGACCTTTTGGACAGCAGTGGAGGCTGGGGCTATGCCTGCACTCTGTACAACCCCTCACAGGGGAGGGGGCAAAAGAGGCTCAATAATATCACTCCTTTAATCAACACAGAGCTAAAAAGTTCCTTAGTGTCAGAGAAGAGATGTGGATCACGGTATCTGTGATTGCAAAAGATTAAAGGAAAAGAAGAATTTCTCCAAGAACTTCTCTGCATGAGTCTTACAGTGAGTGTTGGGAGCCCTATTTAACCGAAGATCCCAAGATCCCTTTTTTGAACTGTTAAGAACTTACAGTCACAAGCTGAAGCGTTGAATATCAGTATATACCAAAATTCAAAGACAGGATTTTTCTCAGGAAACTGCAAACCCTTAATTAAGGCTTCAGCTGCCCCAGACTTCCTAAATAAACCGGATGAAGAGAAATAGGCACTTCCAAGGGTAATACTGAACACGACACCACAGTTAGGTATTCAAAGTTACATGGGACAAAGTAAGACCCAAGAGTATGCCCTGCAAGTGTTTTATAGAGAGATCCTCAAGAACACCGGTGAAGGCACTTGGTGACGACACATCAAGTTTTCTCCAAGTTAAACAAACGACCCTCCACAGTAGCGCAGCCATCGCCTGCTGCGTGTCAGGGCCGAGTGCCACCTCTCCCCTGCCACACCAGGCTCAGCTGCCCAGGCTCAAGGGCAGCTCTGGTGCGGCACAGCCGCACAGCCTTGGCTTGGGCTGCTGGGAGAAAAGCCATGTGGGAAAGCACCATGTGAGAAGCCTTGTTCGGAGTCCCTGCACTTTGCTCGAGAGCCGCTTTTCATCTCAGCTGTTGCCCTTGGTGTCTGCCTGAGCCATGCTGCTGCGCACTGATGCTGATCCTGACCCTAACCAGTGACTTGGTGTCCTCAGCCTCGACCTCCTCACTGCAGGGGGGACTCGTCTGCCAGCCGCTGCAAGCTGACCCTGACTACTGTCACCAGACCTGCTCTGCTCTTCGGGTTGGGGTACCATGGGGCTGCACCCCAGTGGGCAAGGCCCCTGCCCCGTGCCCGCCCAGCTGCCACACGCAGCTCCCACTCGCTCCTCGAGGCCACAGCCTGCATTCGCCCTGACTCAAGACCAAAGCCGCCCCTCCAAAGGGTTACAAATAACCCGGGCAACAGGAACACACTAACACTTTTTTCTTTTTTTAAGCACACAAAAATGCCTTCAGGCTCTCAAGAGATGACTACCTCCCATCTTGAAATGAAGAAGCACATAGGCAATTTTGAGCCAGTATGCAGGGCTTTATGGACTTACCTAAAAATAAATTTATATGCAGAGTGTAACAGAAATAAACACCCTGTGTCGTGGCAGAAAACCAAATACAGACTGCCTGTCTACACGAGGCAATGCAACAATGCACAGGATGTAAAAACTGAAGTTAGCTACCAAATTCCAGGTAGCCATCTTACAACACAGAATCTGGGCATCTTTCCCAACAAGGAGCTACACAGCACAAAACTATTGGTCTAGATTTAGTAGCAAACGGCTGGCCAACACAACTGATTTCTGTTCATCAGCCAGAGGCCGAGAGAAGAAAGGTCTCTGGACCCACCCCACCCTCTTACTCCAAACACAGGTGCAAGAGGCCTCACCAGCACAAGGTTTAAGCAGAAGGTTTATATAAAGCACACATAAGGTGAGACTACACAGACAAGAACTCAGACTATTCTACTGAAACTAAGGACAGAGATTTTTCTCCTGTGTCCTTCTACAGGTGAAGGAAATAAGACACTGTAGAAGCAAACTGAGCTACTTTCATACTTGCTACTAAACATACATGAAAGAACTGAAGACTAACAAGTTGAGGGCCATACATTCAACTCATCAGCAACTGAAAATCCCCCTAAATTTAGAAGACTTTTTGCAACTCAGTGAAATTGTTAAAGCAGATGTACATGATTTCTAACCCTTATGATTGAAAGTAAAGTGCTTGTTTTATTAGATTTACAGAGTTTTCTGAAGGAGTTTTACTTCTCTAGTTATTGAAATACTTTGATTCTCCTGCTGTACATTAGTTTGGTTAAAAACCCAAAGCACTCAGTAGTATAGTAATACCTAAGCACATAAGTGAGACTGAACTGCACTTCATCTCCCTACACAGAACACGAAAATCCAAGAAAAATTTTCTACTGCTTTTATGAGACATTTACTGCAAATGTCCAATCCACTGAATAGGGGAAGGAAAGGAAAGGACAAGAGTGTGATGATACTTCAAAACTTTAAATACAAAAGCACATTAATCCTAACAAAATGATCCCATATATTAAACAAGAATAACTGTAATGTATCTGTGATACAAGTACTAGTGAATCCCTGAACAATAACTTACTAAATTTAACTTATTCTACTTAAATTAGCATTTGTACGCTGAACCAATATTCAGTCTAGAATGAGGTTATTCCTACTTTCTCAGGAATGTGTGGTTATTACTAATTTTAAGTTCAAGGAACTACAGTTAGAAAAGCAGAACATTTAAGACAGGTATTAGTGCATATTCCTTAGTCATTGTACCACTATAACTTCTCCATGTTTTATTTGTGCATTTTACAATCTTCATGCCTTTTAGGGCAACATATCTAAAACCTAGGAACATCATACAGTAGTATCAGACAACAAAAAATAACAGAGCGAAAGCGTATCTCTAGTAATGATGCAGTCAAAGTAAAACAGAAAATCAAATTAAGTCATCAAATATTCAGCTCTGTAGTTCTATTGTAGTGTTGCCTAACCTTGATAAAATCTTTGATGAGCTGGGCTGCTTTAACCCCGTTCTGTACATTAAAGCTTATATCAACTTTCACTTCAGTGAAGGAATCTGTCAGTTTAATAATAGGTACCTGCAAAAGAAAGACAGATTAAGTCAATACAGACATCCAAGACACATTTGGTTCCATTCATACTTATATGCACCAGTAAAACTGAAACATTTTATGAATTTGTAGAGAGGACGTAGAGAGAGAAAACAGGACTCCTGTCTATTTATGAACTCACTCTCCTTGCCAATCTGTTTACATAAACTTTGCTTTTGTAACTCATAAATGCTATTTTCAATTTACTATCCTGTTTAACCAAACTTAACACTTCATGTTCAAAGTGATTAATTTTAAATTGTTTTTAGTCAGTTCCTGGTGCAGAAGCATAGTTCTAGTGGGAAAAACAAACACCAGAGGGAGACAAACACTTAAGAAATAAAGATGAACGGTAATAGATACGCTTAAGAAAAGACACGCTCCTGTGTCACTGTGGGTCGTTGATTCCTCATCAAAATTATCTTCAAACAAGAAGCACAAGATATTGAGAGCACTCCGACATATCTCCACCTGAGTGGTTTCAAAATTATCTCTCTCTACTAATAATAGCCATCAACTGGACACCTGTTTAAACCCCAACCCTCTTAGATACACTTACAATTAGCAAAAGGTAGGAAGTTATAATGGAATTAATCCTATCCTGCACAAGACATACCATTACATATTTACACAAGGCTGTACTCACTACTTCTATGTGAAAATGTATTATGTCTGCTTACTTGCAGTAAGAAAAAAATAATTTATTTATGTACAAACTCAGTACAGAAATACACAGGTCTAATCACATTAATTCACAACAATGACTAGTATAATCTCACTTAAAAGCAAGTATATGTTGTGCAGTATGGAAAATCAGATGATTTTCCCCAACAGAAAAAATGCTTCTGTTGGAGTACTATCAATTATTTTGTTGTTAATAAAAACCATACTAAGAGGTTCTACTGATTCTATTTCAAATTTATATAAAAATAGTTTCTGCTTATGAAAATTCATCCTTTTAACCAAGATCTTTCTTTGATTAGAAATTTAGCTTAGAACATGGAAATACCCTCTTCTCCCAAACTTACAGTTGCTTTATCTAAAACTTTTACTGAGTTTTCATCTGCTACATTGTGCTTTCTAAGAGCTTCTTCCAGGGTCCAAAGAGGTAATGTCTCCCATTTTCCAAACACAACTAAATCAATATCACTGAAATGGAAAGAAAATATAGATTTATTCAAATTAAAAGATGAATACACTTAAAAGATAAACAACTGACATCCACACATAACTAGAATAAAGCTGACAGAATGTAGCTTAACCAAATAGTTTATTTTTAATTTTCTGAGGAAAGGGGTGGAGATGAACTCTTACACTTGGGGAAATACAGAACATTTCAGGTTGCCAAGGGGAGGGGACAGATACACACACAAATCAATTGGGCTGCAAAGCCCGATATTAGTCTCCTCAGGCCACATTGTCAGCAGAGTGGGATCAGCTTCTCCAGAGTGATTCAGAGCAAGAAATTAACTTGTTGTGAATCATCACCTTTGGGCTGTATTAATCAGTAATGCCAATTTAACAGCCTGTTTCTGAAAGGGAAAGTCCTGTTCCCCATCCTCTACTCCCAGATGCATGGCCCTGTCTCCTCCTTTGCTCTAGGTCTGGTGTTTGTCTAATCCGCAACAAATCAATTCAACATATTAATGGGCCTGGCAGAAAAACAACTTCTCTCCCACCTTAAAAAAACCACAAAACATCCTAGGGTAATTTCCTGCCTCTTTGTATATAAGAAAACCAACATAAGCTGGTTTTCTGGGTGATCAGAGCACCAGTGGGCACATGGTAAGCAGCTGGCCTGTAGTGCCAAGAACAGGGAGCAGGGAAGGAGAGAGGAAAATGTGGCTACTTTGACTTCAAGAAGCAACAAGCTGTTAAGTAAGATCACACCATCTAACCAACCGCTCTCATTAACTCAGCTCCTTGAAGGGGTGTCTCCATCCGCTACACTTCCTCCCTATGCACATACACATACACTTGACTACTCAGGGAGCTGACACCCTGATTCAATGCCTGAAGTCAAATTCAAAAGGTGGCTGGTGTCCAAACTGAAGCCAGTGAAGGCTACTGTGAGATCCTGAGCTATTCCCCCTTTGCTCCCCAACTTCTTCTTTGACTTCATCTGCTTGGTTGGGAACACAAAGGAGGTGAGCATATAACCCTACAGTTATACTAGCACGCCACTTTGGTGATATGGAAAACTGCATAACAGAAAACACCAAAAAATGTAGGAATATTCCCCTCCCTCCCCCAATAGATTCTACAGGTCTGCTGATTCACAAACAACACTGCTTTAACAATCTCAAAGAAACTACATCTGCATTAGATGAAATATCTCCTGCCGACAGTGTCGGCAGCAGGCAAGTTCAGCAGCAGTTCAGCTGCATACCATTCAGCTGACAAGGACAGGCAGCACTCAGCCAGTTTCACAAAACTATGTTCAAAACCTGCTTGGAGAGCAGGAAATGCTGCTGGACACTTCTCTTCTAAACTAAGTAAGTGTTAAACCCACTACCGATGCTGACAGTTAACAACGGGAGACATCTTTCTGATGCACATCAAGAAAGAAAAAGCAGCTCTGTTGTCACCTTGAGTATAGATATTGCCTGCAAAGTAACAGAGATCTAGCAGCTAAACAACCGTGTGCCCAAACCTTCAATATCAGCTTAAGTAAAACGATATTAGGCAAATTCTAACACAGAGTAACAGAATTAAAGACACACTGTAGGTCTTTCTGAATCCCAGAACCTGAAATCTGAATTAACTATACAGTTACTGACAGGTAGGGAAAACCTAGGGCAAAGGGAAGCTTTCCTAGAAGGTAACAGTGAATTAATTACCAACACGCAAAGGCTCATTATTCTGAAAGTTTGGCAAGTACTGCCACAGGAAGGTTTTTTGTGGGTTTATGTACTGTGTTTAGGGTATCTGCCTTTGTTCTCCCCCCAAAACTCAGCTGAAACAAATATGGAGGAAAGGCAGCATATGAAATCAAATAGACAACAGCAAAGTGTTTTTCTTGCATCAGTTTCAAAACAATCAAGCAAATGTAGTAAAGAACTATTGCTATCAGTCATGTGGATAGGGATATCTCTCTTCATTACCAGCATTCAATCAAGTCTAATCAAGCCTATTTAAAATCAATGAAAAAAAGGCCAAGAACGAGGCCAAATGTGAAAACAATGTGTATTTGTACACCTTACTTCTGACTCTCCAAACAGAAGCTGAGTAATTCAGCTTTCCTGCAACTCCTTAGACTAAAGCAGATACTAAAGCATCTGTCAGATACTTCCTTTTTCAAAAAGAGATGAAATGATGACTCGGGTATCCATCAGCTGCAGTCAGTACTAGATACTAATTCCTCATGTTCCCAAAGTACGGAACTCAATTCAAGTGTTAACCTCAGACTTAGGCTATTTAAATGTGTTTATCCCTGCAGCCATTTAAGCTTTTCATTCTATTTCTATTTAATTGTCAAAAATACTTAAAATTTCTACATAGAAGATACCAGTGTCACTGAGTAATGACTTTACAAAAACTAGTAATGAATTTGGAAAAGGTAGGTATTGACTATTGTTACAGATTTCACAAAAGAAGACTGAAAGAAAAAAAGCAATCTGTATGTAATCTTTTCTCTTCAGTGCTAACATTATCATTAATATAGTAATGTTAAATGCTTCAATTTAATTGTCTGTGGAGGTAAAACTTAGCTTTTAAGGCCAACTTCTTTTTTTGGTTCAGTCAGTTAACGAAGCCAAATCACAAAATAAGCCTTTTTTGACAACATGGTAATTCATATCTTTTACCGATACATGCAAAATCTATATAGACACATGTATTATAGTTAATAGTCTTAATTATTATATTTCTGTACGCTTTGCAGAGTACTAATAGCTTAACACTTTCTTAATATAACAAGTATACGCACAAGTAACACAGATACTGGGAGACCGGATAAATCACTACAGGGGTACAGGTTTAACAGGCTATGTTTTCTCTTGTACGGAATTTACACTGAAAAATTACTAACCTTGTAGGTAAATATAAACCAGTTTTAAAACTTCCAAATATCTGCACCTGAAACACAAGAACAGGATATATGAAAACAAGTTTTCAGGCTTCAGAAACAAGTTCTATTAAGTTGCTTGTAAAGGCTGGTTATTGCTACCCTCCATTGGTAGATTTTGGTATTGCTAACAGGCACATTCTGAACAGAAGTACTCTTTTCTGTTAAAACATTTACATCTTTAATGTAGTATAAACGGCTAATCTTCATTGTTACTACCCATGAAACATTAATAACTTCGACTTTTCTATTACACAACCTTCTTTGTAATGTAAAAATTTTCACCATGACCAAATTTGGCAAAAACCCATAAACTGAAAGATTTTAAAACACTGAAGAATGATAGAACATTAAAAACCTCAGTATCAGTTCAACTTATTTTTTGCTTTTGTATCTCAAAGTATACCCTTCAGTTTGTAAACACATTTTCTAAGTTTAATATATTCCCGTTGCTTCGCATACTTTAAAAAGAAAAATTAAATCACAATCCATTTTTTTTCCTGAATTACAAAGCAAGTAGCACAACTCTGTCTATTTCTGCTTAAACAACAAACAAAAAGTTTCAGAAAGTTTCACATCCCACAGATTTAGTTTATTATGCTGGAATTTTACTAGCACTGGAGGTTTAAATAACCGGGTTTCCATTGTAAGCTGTCCGAAACCACGTTCTCATTAACTTAGCCACACCTCGCAGGAAGGTTGGATTCATGCACTAAGTGGGGGACTGGTGAGACTTCAAAGTAAAAATGTCTACACATTTGGACTAATTTTCAACCAGACAGTCTTCTGATGTGTTTCCTGGAGCCACCTTACAGACTTGTGTATTCTGTTTTAATGAGTCTCATACATTAGCTCGATTGCCACCTATTTGTATGTCAAGTGACCCACTTTTTATGTTTTTCCCCTTCAGGATAAGAAAAAGGGGAGATGGGAAAAGATGATGTTTTGCAAATATGTGTCTTGATACTTTAGTAGACTAAGAAGCAGTACAAGTGCTTCCTCTTGATTACTTTATATCACTTCACCCTTTTTACCCCTTCACCCCCACCTCCAACAAAAAGCACGTGCTGGCAGTAAATTTAATGTTGAAAGTTCATAGCTTCTCAAACTAGAAAAGGCTGGAAGAGATGCCACAGAACTGGCATCAATATTGTACTAGATCTTGACAAAAGCATAAAGGCATCACAAAGCTAAGAATGTAATAATAATTATTATTACTATTTTTAATCCAGGATAATAATAAAAGCATCCTTTGTGAAACTGTTTGGGTTCAGTCAAACCAGGATTTATTAGGCCACCAAAAACGTCTGAAAAGTGTTTTTGCACAATAAAACAACCACTGATGGGTTCAGAAAAAACTAAATGTGCTCTCACATTATCAAACAAAACAGTGTGTTCAGCTGAACAGCAGAGAGAGCCTTTATTGAATAAACCACCCTGAAAGTATTCATAAACTTACTGATACAACATATATGACCTTTACCAAAAGGAATGAGACAACATCAGTTGTACAATAATTTGGAATATGAGAAACACTGAATTATTCTACAAGAAACCCACACCCACAATTCAATCCCTCTGTCATCAAATCTGGAAAGATGGAAGAGTGGGGAAATAGGAAGAGAAATTTTAAAGGATTGATTATCGAATTGGAATTCAAACTGTTGAAGCTCTGTAGCCATGTACATATTTAAAGCATCCCAAATACAGGACACTGTTATGACTTGAGAGACGTTAAGCATTAGTTTTTGTGGTGTGCCAACACTGCCGACTATGTTTTTATTCTACGTGGACAGAGACATGTATTTGCATTCATAAGGTAACTTAAGACTTCACAGTACTGCAATGGACTACTCCTACTCCTACTCCTGTATGTTACTGTTACTATTTATCCTACATTTCTGCACACTTGTTTGTATTAAATTCCGAAGTTCCTGACAGAGCTTTAATTACATTATGTGTCCAAATATGTCCTCACTATGCACAACAGAACTTGGAAACCCAAAAAAGCTTGGAAAGTCCTTGCTACCAAAATCCCTCCATCAAAACAAAAAAAAAATCTATCTGTAGCCAATTTAAATTTCTCTTTCTTCTACCTCATTAAGTAGAATTTTCTGAAGTTTGTCAAACTAAATAGAGTTCATCTTTCTACTTCCATTCCCAATCATAGTATTTTCATAACTGAAGTGCATGAAGTATGCAACATTATCTCTTTTCAGATCTACGAGGCCACATAATACTCAGACACAAAGCTGAGGACATTATAACAAATGTATCCTAAATTCCACTGTATAAACACTTATTTGTTCAATAGTCAAATTTTCATATGCGACTGGTAAAAAACTTTGCCTTGAAGTGCTTTTGTTTAATGTTTTGGGTTGTTCAGTTTCAGTGTAATTAAAGCCTTTCTTAGGGTCAGAGCCTTGCTGATGCCAAGAACAGTTCTCACGTACTAGGAATGTTTCCTTCTAAGCACATTCTCTTGAGTAAGAGAGCAAATGACACAATTGCTAACTTCTATAAATAAAGTAACAGTTTAGGATACCTAGTTTTACCCCCCCCTCCATCTGCTTTTTCAGCCTTTTCCTAAGTGGAACAGGAAAAAAAGATGTATGTGCACAGACACATTCCACACGCTCTCTATACATTTAGATTCATGAAACCTGATTTTCCTTTTCTTGGTACCTGATTTTTATAGAACACGTCTTACCTACATGTTTAGTGAGAAACTACAAACTAGATGTGTACGTTTAACTTACAAGTTTATTTTAGCTGGATTCACCGCGTCTTTGACTCAAAATGAACAGCTTAAACATTAACTTAACGCTTTACACTACAGCTAAAGCTGAGGACATTGGACCAGGTAAAACTCCACCTTCTCAGAACATGTACTCAAAACTTAAATCTTCCAAGTAGCTAAACCAACACAGATTTCCAAACGGTTAGTGATTAACTCCAACAACTGAAAAATTACAACAAAAGACTGTCAAAGTTGAACACAGTTGAGTTCAGCAGTTCAGTTCCCAGGCAGATCTGTAAAGTAAGTATTAGGAAAATAACATTACAGTAATTTCCAGATTATAACCTGGCATGCTGTTGTCACCATTCAGTTCCCTTCTAGCCTCCAGAAAACGGAAGGGCATACAAGAGGAGAATTCTTTCTCAAGGTAACAACAGCAGACAAAATGCAGAGTTAGGCTTTGAAGAGCAGTTAATGACTTGAGAAAAAGGAACTGGCATGCTCTTGCTCTCTAACATTTTGAAGAACAGCAAAGACAGATGGTCATGGCAGTTCTAACTGGCACTAATTGAAAAGTGAACTTCAGTTTTCAACTACACGGTGTGTGCTTCCTCTCAGTCACATTACAGCTAAGCCCAGTGGCCAGCTTGTCGCTTGTGGTAGAGCTTGTAATTTGCTTCCCCTTCTTAAACATATTATGGCTACAAAAAACAGTTTCAGTACCTTGGCCCCAAAGTCATATATATATATATAAAAAATTATTTTTAATACAAAATACCTAGCTTTTACAGATCAAGTCTGTCCTACGCACAGAGTATCTCTGGAAGCACTAAGTTCTTGTGCCCCATTCAAAATGTTAGCAGTAACAAAGGAAGATCCCCTGGTAATAAATCCATTCACCCCATTACACTAGTTAAATCTGCAGCACACAAACTTGTCTAGGAAATAGCGACATCTTCTCCAGGCTGAAGCAAGTAGTTATTTTGGTGAAATTCCCTTCTACAAGACTTTGGCAGGGTGTATCACAGTAAGCACTGTTTCCTACAATATTGCCTGTCAGACTGGCAGCCCACTACTCCTGCTCTTGATTAGGGTCTACAACACTGTTTCACTGGCTTAGAGGAGAGCTATACAACAGCTGTGAGATATCCTGAAGTCTGTTACACAGTTCTCTTGGAAAGGTTATTGGTTTTGCTCAAAGAGAAAATTACCAGACACATGTTGTACTGACTCTATCAACCCTCTATAACTGTGCAGAGGTAGCTATCACTGAGTGAAGAGTGCTCCTTCCATATTACACGTCATTAATACGTTGTCCGTAACAACATGAACCACCTTGAAAATGTGAGTGTATTTTACACACAAAACCACACACCACATACATATAGGTTATACAGAATTCACATTCTGTCGTATTTTGCCAATTTCTAAAAACACATTCCAAAAAACAGGTTAAGAAGATTTGAAATGAACAGCGGGTTTAAGTCATTCATGTCAAAACACTATCTTTTACCATGGCAGCATCAAAGAGCTTTCCTTATACTAAAGATCTGCTGTCTGAATTTGCTGTGCTATTCTAGCTAATACGTCCTTATTTTCAGCTACTGTTATCCACAGTTAGATGACTACAGCTACACATCTGCATTCTGGAAATGTATCTCTCTACTTACCATATTAGTAGTGAGACACAATTAAACTAGACTCAATTAGGCTAAAAATCCAACTGTGTCCCCAAAGAACTATATTGAGTTGTAAAAGCGACTTCTCTGGCTTCTCTTTAATCCAACCTTTATTAAAAAAAGCATAGCTCTGCATAGGAGAAACTCTTTTTTCTCTTGAATGAAGTACTAGCAAAAACCCCATCTTCAGTGGAAAGAGGCACTATAGATTTTACACAGATCTACAGACTTATTTGCTCCTGTACAAAAAACTGGTTCCTTTCAATTCGTAAGATATGTCAATTTAGTTTAACTGCCCATTAAAAATAGCATGGTCTACGTAACATGGCATTGCTGGCATTCCACCTTAATAGACTTACTCAAAACTGCAGGTCTTTGGACTAGAAGCCCTGCTGCTAGTGAAGCTATGAGTTTCAGAAGATTTTTTTTTTAACACAATACCTTACAAGCATGCATGCATGCCTGATGTGTTCCTATTAATCTTAGTAAATAAATATTAATGAGACCAAATGTTGCCACACCTTATACCCTTTCTTTGACTAGAGTAGGTTTAGCTTGTCTTTGTTCCTACGTGTGATAGAAAATGTTAACCTGTATTATTCTAGAAATTAAGATCATCTCTCTCATTTGATCAGAAATCCTCTTGGTTTTTTTTAATATGGAAAAAATAAACAGTATTTTCATTATTCAATACTTTGCAAAGTAATCAGGCACAAAATGTTGCTTTTATATATTAACGAATACAACAGTGTCCTACTCACATCTGCATTAGGCCAGAGCTCTTTTATAACATTTTCTATCCTGTTCACCACTTCCATCCGCATTCTCTCTTCTTCAGGTCTGGGAGACATATACTTATAAAAGTCAATTATTTCTTCATGAAGACTAAGAAAGAAAAAAAAAAAAAGAAAAAAGTTAGGAAAAACCCACAGGAGAATGAAATAGTAACTACTCTAATCAAACAGGCTTTTTAAGCTCCTAGTTACCTATTTAGTTAAGGGGCAATTTAAGAGTAGCATGCAATTAAAAAAAAAAAATCCAGATTCACAACACTTACTAACATTAGTTTCATGTTAGTTTCTTATGCCATAGGTCAGTATTGCACTGCATTTGCTAAAAGTATTGAAGCAAATCTAAATCCAAGCGCCTTCAATTCACACTGAAAGTCACACTCTGTATTTTAATGCCAGTGTAACGCATAAATGGTTCAGTCTTCAACTATGAACGTAGCTGTAAGCTCCAAGTACACACTGCGCAAAAATTTCAACAGGAGGTTTTCAGCCAGCACTTCCTAGTCACCCCGTTGGCACCAGCTAGGGAGTTCCAGGCATCAGCCTGTATTCAGTACCAGGGTTTTAAAAAGTTGATAGTAATTGTGCCAGTACTAGACTTAGAAAAACCGCTTCTTTTACTGATAGAGAAGACACATAAACTAAATACGCACTCTCTCCCCATAACAAGAAAATAAGTAGTACATACGCAGCAGTGGTGGCTCAAAAGAATAAGTGATTGACAGACAGTTAAGCCATATATTTGACAGTTTACCATATTACATGTGCTTCTCAGTCAGTTATGTTTAGACTGCCTATGATAAGAGCTGAAATAAAAATGTCTTCATACAGTGCCACAAATTTCTATGCTTCTGTAATATCATAAACACATCATCATCTTGACTAACAATGTATTTAAAAAAAAGACATGACCCTTTAATTCCAGCCACAGAGTAGCTAAATTAATTTCATTTGTTTCCTGCAATGACCATTACAGTAACAGTTAGTTTTTTTTTTTAAATGTATTGTTTCTAGTTACCAAGCTCAACTGCATCTCTCCTTAAAGCTCTGAGGGACCATCAGAAGAGAGGAATTCATTAAGAGCAAGCCCTTAGATGAGATGTGAAATCTAATACTTCCCCACTGCACACACGCGTAAATAAATCAAATGTTAATAACTGGAAGTTGTATACAGGTGTTAACAAAACAGATTAAAATATCTGAAAGTTGTATTTAACAGAGGCATGGTAGGGGCAGAACTCAAACCATCTGTGTTATGTTCTTCGATACTGCAGCATTATGAACTACACAAGCTTCTTTCTCTCAGAGACAGAGGAATAAAATATTTACATTACTTTTCACCACGCATTTATTGGAATTTCCCACATGCATGGTTCAGGGAATAGTCATAAAAGCCTAGCAACTTGTGGTGGCCATCACCACAGCTCTCTATAGCTAACGCAAAGAAGAAAACTCCTCTGACAGAGTTCCTCCAAAGGGAAGATCCAAACAGATAACCAATTTAGCTGTTCTAAAGCAACCTTTGAAGAAGCTTCCCTCCCTCTGACATCTACAGAGGGAGCCTTACAAACACTTAAACTAAAAACTAAACCAAACCAAAACCCCCCCCCCCCCCCCGCAAAGATCTCCTGCAAAAATGGAAGATGCCGTCTCCCTCCTCTCGCCCCCTTACTGCCACACTGGCACCAAACCCTGTTCATGCACATCATCTCAGGTACCACAAGGATGTTCTGAACAATGTCACTGCAATATTCATACTGATAAATGCTGTTTTCTGCATTTATTTTGACATCACTAGGAAATTTCTTACCTCCTCCTGCGGCTGCTTTCCTGCTTTTCCTTGGAAGCTTACAACCTGGGGTAAGCTTACAACCTGCACATTCCAAACCACCACTGCCATCCCTTACACGGGCACTGACTCCTCTGCCTTTGGCTTTTCAGCCATCTCCTGTTCTTCTATTCTTCACCGCTATTCAATGTGTTGGCACTTAAACCTTCTTACAGCTATCCTCCCATTGCAAGTATTGAATTCAGGTGAGAAGTACACGATAAAGGACAAGTTGAACACTCCAACAACCAAATTCACTCTCCCCACTGCCAGTCACACATACTGAATTACTAAATTAGTCTCCAAGTGCTTGACCATTAATGTAGCATTCAAAAACAAGAGCAACAAGGAAAACAGGCAAAAACATGATTATCAAACTCTAGAAAACACAAATTATTTTTCAGCTATAATCTGGTGAACCAGCTTAGAGGAAGACCTGGGAGTCAGCCCAAGGCTTCCTATCATGTCTGGCAAACTCTTTACTTTCTTTGCAGCCTACATTGTGGGGAACTGATCATGCAACCCAGCCCCATTTCTGCCTCTGCTCCTCTGGACTAGCTGGAACAGACTGGTTACATCCACAAGGCACAAGATTTGCCCCAGAGCAACATTTTTAGTAATGTGAGATTGAGTGCACGCAGGCACTGCATGCCATGAGGAGCAGCACCACATTGTCTGAGGGCAGTTAACAGCACAAGACGTGCTGGGATAATACCGAGGGACTATCCCTGGGGAGAAATTAATGTATGGCACAGCACAAATCCATACTGCCCATCATCAGTGGGCCCAGCTGCTCCTGGGCTTCTGCTTTACGGGAGTTAATTGTTCCCCTGCCCCATAAGGGAACTTTGAAAGAACAAGGCAATCAGAAATGAGGTCCCCAAAGTGCACAAAGGGCCAAGCCATACAGACACTGGAGTTCTCAGGGCACTTGTCTTTATTAACTTCACTGACACTCTTAATCGAGATAATTACATCAATTGGTGCATTCTTTAGAAGCACATAAAATAATGATGCACTGTCAGAACCAGATGTATTTCTTTTTCTAAACATAAATAACATATGTCTGCATCTCTTTAAATGGGATCCTTCTTATTCTTAGGTGATCATGTAAAGCTTTATGGCAAAATAAAAAATTAAGCAGCATGCAAACACACAGAAACTTACATTACACATGCACTGATTGTTACTAAACAATGCAGATGTATGAAAAATGGAAATTGAACTTTCTCAACGATAGAAGAAAGGCTTAAAGACTACTAGAGAAAGTTCCCATCAGCACACCAGTTGGAAATACTACAGACATATCTGTGTTTTATCTGCTGCAAGACTCCATGCTGCTAGGATTGCCTGTGCTGCACAGAGCCACAGTACGCAGAAGGCAGGCAGAAGCTGTAAAGGCTCACGACTACACCTGGAACCGTGTTTCCTTGCCCAATAATGGCTGCTGCCAAGAAATAAGGGAATGATTGATTAAAGCCAAGACAAACAGAAGTAGCCACATGCAGATTTCGGAGCAGTACAACATGACTTAGAGGCGTGACTCCAATTAATGTGGAGTTAACTCAAGCTGTATTGAAAATTAAAACTCAAGGTTATTCACTGTCTTAATCAACATCTATTATAGTCACTGTTTTTTCAAAACAATTTGTTTGGATTAATGGAGCCTGTTTACAAGAGTCTCTAGTGGAATTTTGTATCTTTAGCTGAAATGAACATCAAAGAGACTGAGATGTTATTTTTGGCATCATAACAGTATTTTATTATTTACTGCCATTACATTCATTAGTTATTTTAGATAAAAGTCCTTAAAAGGAGACTTATTTTTAGAAGGAAATTACGTTGTAATAAACCTGATTTCACTATGCAGAGATATTTCATTTGGCTTTATAGTTATACTGAAGCATACCAACACCCAAGACCTACTTAGGATGCACGGAGAGAGCTCTCTGCAATGCATATGAGCATTAGTTTACTGTTTTTATTATAGTAAATAGCAGTAAACAAGTGGGTCTTTGTCCTGTACTTCAGGAAATCTTAACACTTGGGGAAAAAAAAAAATAAAACAGGCTCTTACACCTTCTCCGAGTATGTTTTAAAACAAAGTACTAGTGGCATCACAGTGTGTTTTCAAGCCTGGTAATCTGATTCCATCAGAATTTCACAGACAGAATAGAATTATAGAGAAGAGAAGCCACTAAATTTAGTGGATTGTAGTGTCTGTTATGTTTACCTGACAGAGATAGTGATGCATCATTAAAAAAAAAAAATTATGGCTGCAGAAGTTGTGATCACAAGGACTTCCCACCATAACATCGCTGAATAGCACCACAAGGAACCCAAGTCTGCCAGACTCAAGCCATTTAGGTAAAAAGCCACAGCTTTTGTGCAGATACAAGTACCACCGAACACAGTGCATTACATTCCTTTCTTAGTTTGATCACATCTTACTTTATTTTCTAGCACAACTTGTGGACTCTAAATGTGCAACTCAGGATTCTCGAACTAGTTTACATACACCCAAGATGTTGTTATTTTGGAGTATGAATCCTACTGCACCTCTGGCAATCAATTGAAAAATAATACTGTATGAACAAAATGTTGTTTTATATGCATAGCACACAGACAGATACGTGGACAAGCACATATGCTTGACTGTACACTTCAGTTACTTGACACATAAAGCAGCACAACTTGCTATTGCCGCAAGTCCAGAACTGGAACCAAGAGTGATACTGGAAGGCATGTTACTTTATGAAACGTAACTGGAGATACAAGTTTCACTTCTCTGCACTAGGATCCCGATGCAGACTAAATGACCAGTCCACTGTGCTCACAGATTTCAGCAGCTTGGAGGAAGCCAGCCTGACACAACCAATGCCCAGCGCTCAGCAGCCACACCAGCGGCTGCCCAAAGTGGGACCATACCCTGGACCTTCCCTGCCTGCCCCGCACAGCTGAGAAACAGAGCGCAGCCCTGCTAAGCAGAGCAGCCAGTGAGAAAAAGATAATTCTGACTGGTTTTGCTTGATCACAGGATAGCAGTTAAATGTTGCCTTTGCGCGCCAACATGCAGTATTATAGTAACCACAGTAATAATTTTTAATTGAAAAATTTCCTGCTTTTGTCATTCTGGAATTGTGTTATACTTCCACTCTCCTCTGGCTCTTCTTCAGTCTTCATTCCACAGGACAAATTATGCAGGCATGCATGTTCTAATTTCTCTCATCAGGGTGCTACCCATAGGTTCTGCTCCAACTGTTAAA